TCACTGACTCAAAATCTGTACTACAGGCTTTGCAAAGCCCCGGACCATGGCCCCCCAATGTCAACACTGTCATCATGGCTTCACATAACATTAAACAACGCTATGGCACCCCTGTAATAATGCAGTCACATAGGTGTGACTGGCAACACAATTGCAGACTCTTTGGCCCACAACGGAGGGCAAAATCCACCCACTGATCAGGCTGTAAGCTTTCATCAAGCCCTGGCTATAATACAAAAAACAGAAATGGAAAAGTGGTTTGAGTGCTGGGACAAGTCCCAAAAAGCCCGTGGAGTCTGGGAGCGCATGAGGCGCCCTGACCACACTTCCCCGTGGTGGAGGCTGTCCAGGCCTGAGCAAGCTTTTATAGAACAGTGCAGGACAGGCCACTGTTCTGTTGGCTCATATTTCTCGCGGCTATGCCCAAATTTTGATTCACGGTGCCCCCACTGCGGGGAAGAAGAGGAAACCGTGCCTCATATTCTGTTTGACTGCCCCAGACTTGCTGATCTCTGTCTCGACAGGTCTGGGAAACCCAAATTTCTCGACCTGTATGGCGACATTTATGCACTACGCAAGACAGCAGGGTTTCTGTCCATGGCTTTTGCAAGAGAGGATTTGAGCCTCTCAAGCCCTCATTCTAATGGAGTTTGATGATGATGATTTACATAACTAAAAATTCGTATACAAATTGTGTGATTTCTTTACTAAAATTCATCCGCCCCACCCCCACCCCCCACAGGATTCGCCAGTGATTGGAAGTTGGAGAAAGAAAGAAAGAAATGTCAAATCCGGAAAACAACCCAAATCAAATTGAAAACATAACTATTTACGGTTCGTTTGATGATTACATCCGCCCCACCCCCCTTGAGGGGGTGTGATGATCACATCTCTTAGTTTCTATATCAGCCTATGCCGAAATAAAAGAATTATATATCAACTCAATCTCTCTGTCTGGTAGAAATATTTGACACGTTAACTTCTCATTCTTGGATCAAGTTAAAACTGAATATTCATTGCCCCTAACAAAACATGAATTAAACGAAAAGTTAAACGACAATTTTATCAATAAGTCATAATTAATTTCGTTTTATATAAATATAATACTAGCTAAGGGGAGATAAGCCTATTATGCATAGAGTGTGCTGTTTAGCGATTGGAATGGTAAACGTTTAATATTCATATATAAACTGGAGCTGATGTACAGGCCTATGAATAATACTGTTACATTGGACAGAGAAGTACGTCTTTAAGTCGTCTTAGACTATTTGAATTAGACAAATGTTATCTCCCCTTGTTTCACCTTTTCAAAAAAGAAGCAACAAGACATTACGACTATAAGGGCAAAGGTCAAAAGATAAAATAACTCAATAAATTATAAACCAGCCTGATAGAGGACTAATGAAAATTCCAAATTCTCTCCTTTTTTTTACTCTTACTAGGCAAGGGGAACTACTGCAATACAGTAGCCTACAAGAAAAAAACATTTTTTAAAGAGGGATAGACGCCTGTTACTACGAGCTTTCAGTATTCTAGGTCTCTATGAAGAGACATCAAAAATGTTTAGTGGCTGCCCGGTAGAGTGGTATGCACTTCGAACTTTCGTCACGATTATCCCTAGTTCGAGTCCTGCCAGCAATTATCCCATTCAGTTCTGCGGGAACTCTGAACTAGAATGTAATAATTATTGCCGAAGGAAAGTCAGACTAAACAGACTAGGCATCTGCTACAATAATAGCCTACAGTAGAATCTAAAAAAAAACAAAAAAAACAGTAGGTCAACTAGACCTGTGTACTATCTAAACAAATATATTGTGGAGAACAAAAAAAAAGGGGGGGGGGGGGAGAAAGCTGTTCAGCATACCTAAAAGCATAGATAGATCTTATGAGCAGTTTCAAATGAACCTGATATGGATCCAGACCTATGAACTTCTACGTCAGGAATGTACTAATAACTGCTCCATAAACATTTTGTTACATAATGAAATGTTCACTGAGCGACAGTTTTCAAAATGCAACATTAAACAGGCATTGGCCGAAATTGTGAAAATGTTCGGCTTTTACTCAGCTGCTAGCCTGGGGATTGACTTTTTTTTTTCTCCAATAAATCAATCCTTTACATATTTTTATAATCTCTCAGACACAAGCATAAATAGGACACGCACACATACTTGGGCCTCCTGTTGCGTGTCAAGGCTGCTCGAAAAGATAAATCTGATACTCGGAGTACCTCTCAAATCTGTGACTCGGAGTACCTCTCAAATCTGTGACTCGGAGTACCTCTCAAATCTGTGACTCGGAGTACCTCTCAAATCTGTGACTCGGAGTACCTCTCAAATCTGTGACTCGGAGTACCTCTCAAATCTGTGACTCGGAGTACCTCTCAAATCTGTGACTCGGAGTACCTCTCAAATCTGTGACTTTTTTTTTTAAATGCTGGGGCACAATGTAAGCGTTGCAAGAGCGTTGTCTCTGATCTACACACAATGGACATAAAAGAGAAATGGTCTTTGTTGGACTTAGTGACAAAGTCAAATTTATAGTTATGCACTTCCATTGGGCGAATGATGAGCTATTGCAAAAAGTCACTTCATTAGAGAACTAAGATACTTAATAGAGCAGTTTTACAGCCTTGGATTTGCTGCCATATTTTATCTTATCTTATCTTATATAATACAGACGTTACTTCAAAAAAGATGATTACGTCCTACGCGTCATGCATTTAGTCATGCATATTAACCAATGACTTAAATTCTGCCAAGTCACTGGTTTTTCTGGCTAGCTCAGGCAACCCATTCCATGCTCTAATAGCACTAGGGAAGAAGGAGCATTTGTACAAATTTGTCCTAGCATAGGGGACGAGGAATGTGCCTTTATTTTTGTGTCTTTCAGAGTATTTCATTAAGTTTTGTTTTTGTATTTGAAGATTATGGTCCAGTGCTTTATGTATAATTGCTACTTTACTTTTGAGTCTTCTGTCCTGAAGGCTTTCTAAATTTAGTGATTTTACTAATGGTGTTACTCTAGTCAAATGTGAATATTCGTTTGTTATGAATCTCATTGCTCTATTTTGTGTTTGTTCCAGTTTCTTAATGTTTTCTTGAGTTGAGGGGTCCCAAACGGTGGATGCATATTCTATTATTGGCCTAACCAAGGTTAAATAACATTTTAGTTTTATGTTCTTATTTGATTTATAGAAATTTCTTTTAATAAACCCTAATGCTTTGTTGGATTTTTTTGTAGTTTCATCAATATGTGGAATCCATGACAGTTTTTCATTTATTATAACACCTAGGTATTTTGCGTTTTTAGTCTGTGTTACTGGTTTGCCATGAATAAGATAAGTGGAATTAATTTGTTTTAGTTTTTTTGTTACTCTTAACAACTGACATTTTTCTGGGTGGAAAGACATGCTCCAATTTGATTCCCATTTCTGTAATTCATCTAATTCTCTTTGTAAAATATCTGTGTCTTGTGTTGTTTTTATTGTTCTATATATTATGCAATCATCTGCAAATAATCTGACTTTTGTTCCTGAACTAATGCAATTTGGTAAATCATTTATGTAAATTAAAAATAGTAGTGGACCCAAGACTGTTCCTTGAGGTACACCTGAGTTTACTGTTAACGGTGTTCATTTAGAGCCATTTATTATTACAGTTTGTTCTCTCCCTATCAGAAAATCTTTAATCCACTGATGCAGTGGACCATTAATGCCGAAATATTTTAATTTTTTAAGCAAATTATGGTGGTGAACTTTGTCAAAAGCCTTGGAAAAATCTAGTAAAATAGCATCTATTTGTTCACTATTATCTAAACCTTTTGAAAAATCATCAATTAGTCCTATTAGTTGTGTTTCACATGATCTATATTTCCTAAAGCCATGTTGGTATGGGGTGATAACATTATGTTTGTCTAAGTGGTTTATGATGTTGCTACATATTATGTGTTCTAGGATTTTACATGTGATGCTGGTAAGTGATACTGGTCTGTAGTTTCCTGGATCAGATTTTTCTCCTTTTTTAAATAGGGGTGTGACATTAGCTTCTTTCCAGTCCTTTGGTACTCTGCCCTGGTTAAGCGATGCCTGAAAGAGTATTTTGAACACTGGGGCTAGCTCATTGCTTAGTTCTTTAAGTAATCTAGCTGGAATACCATCAGGTCCAGATGCTTTATTTGGTTTGGTGTTGGATAATAGTTTTTGAATTCCATTTTCTTGTATTACTAAATCTTCTATGTTGTCTACTTGGTTCAAATTAAGAAATATGTCTTTGTCTCCTGGGGCTGAGAATGCTGATGCAAAGTATTTGTTTAGGATGTTTGCTTTAGTTTCATTATCATTATGTATTATGTTATATTCATCTTTTAATGGCGCTATGCCTGTTGTTTCCATTTTCTTAGACTTAATGTATGACCATAGGTTTTTGTTATCTTTAGATATTACATTGTTTATGTATTCACTCTGCAGCTGTCTGCTTACTTTTTGGGTTAGGTGTTTAATTTTTATATACTTTTTGTGAACTCTTTCTGCCTTGGTTTCTTTAAATTTTCTATATAGGTTTTCCTTCTGTTTACAAAGCTTCTTTAGTCTATTATTAAACCAGCATTTATTTATTTTGCTTGATGTGTATTTAGTTGGTATATGATTTTCTATAATGCTTTTAAGATGGTTTTTGATGAAATTACAGAGGTCATCGACTGGTTGGTTAATGTCTTTTTCTAATAAGAATGTTTGTTGAAAGTTTAATGCAGCTTGGTGTAGTTGTGTTGATTACATTTATTCCAGAGTAAGATTTTTCTTTTGGGTTTTGTTTATTTTATCAAGTATATTGTAAGCTTGGCTTTAAAAGTTAACTTTTAAGTTAAGTCTTTTTTGTCCTTCTCTTGGCATGCAGGCGTCTGGTAATCCTAAAAGTTTGACCAATGATATATTTTGTTTCTTATTTCATTGAAGCCAATTTGAAAGAACTAGGGATGTAAGGGAAACCATTAACACAATGCTTTGATGGTAATAGTTTTATTGAAATTAGTTACCAGTATATTACATTAAAACTACATTTACCACCATTAAATAAAAGCCTTCAATGATAAATGAATCTAAATGCATAAGTAATTTGAGAGGGTTTGTTTTTGGTTTTTGCTTATTTTGTTAAATTTTTTGTCACTTAATGCAAATAAGTTTAAACAACAAGAAGATAATACATACATCAATTGTTGATACAAATTATATGGGGATATATAATACAACTTATTGTAAATGTTTAATCAATTGTGTGGTTAATGTTACAGTAGCAAATAAATCTTAGAAGAACATAGGTCATGGGCATACACATGATAAAATGACCATTTCATCAAAATGGACTAAAACCTAATAGCAGGAATTGAAATACATTGGAAGCCCTTAATAAAGAATACAACAGTTTGGTGGGAACCTGATAAAAATGTATGGGGTAACAAAGAATACAACAGTTTGGGAACCTAAAAAGAATGTATGGGGCAATAAAGAATGCAAGTTTGGGAACCTGATAAGATTGTATGGGGCAATAAAGAATACAACAGTTTGGGAACCTGATAAGAATGTATGGGGTAACAAAGAATACAACAGTTTGGGAACTTAATAAGAATGTATGGGGCAACAAAGAATACAACAGTTTGGGAACTTAATAAGAATGTATGGGGTAACAAAGAATACAACAGTTTGGGAAATTAATACTAATGAAATAGAAGAATAGTGCAACCCCAGTAAAATTGTTACTGTGCATTAGTTAAAGTAATTATATTCCTTTTAAAAACAAAAGGTTTACACTGTTTTCAACAAATAAATAAAATATTTTCAATGAAAAAAAAATAGATACATTTACCCATGTGTGGTCACTTAGTTAAATATACTTTTCAAAGATATCTACAATAGATAGAGACACAGAATAAAAAAACAAAATCTCCCTTGCAGCAGTTGTAATGATGAGCAAAATGCCTAAAACTAGATAAAATTATGTAAGATTATTCCACAAAAGTTTTTTTGGTAAAACTGATTAAAATGTAATGTGAATGAGCTCCCTGTGTTGATCACACCCGCAAGAACAAACTTTTTATTTGAAAATTATAAATTGACTAGCAACAACAATGAAACAAAAATGAACATTACAACAGATTCACTAGGAGAAATAACATTCAGTTTTAGAAATGATTTTCTGCTAACAAAAAGTGATTTTGATTTTTTAAAACTTATAATAAATAAAGTACTATTTGAAAATAAAATAAACGGAAAAGAAATCTATAAATAAATACTTTTCTTCAACAATGGCAGGTGTGTATATAAAAATGATATTACAGATTATGTGAGACTATAATTCATCTCATCAAATGATTAGAAACATTAAGATACAGGTGTAGTAATTAGATAGCTTGAATATACAACCAGCCTCAATCTGGCATGTGGGAGAGTCATGGTTTATGTAGATTAGAAAGCTAGTTTTGAGCCTTTTTTAAAACAAATATACATGAAGACAAATTGGTGAAGACAAAATCCTGATAGTTTTGCAAACATTTTTTGGGTTTATATAGCTTAGAACAATCTGAAACAAAAACTTTTTAATGAAAGGTTTACCATTTTTTAAGTACATGATAATTTAGACAAAAAATAATCTAGTTATCAGAATTAATGATATCACAATTGAACTAAAACTAATGCTGCATAAAGGTATGGGTGTGAAGGTATGGATGTTTTGATAATAGTTCTTCTCAATATAGATCATCTTTGGATGTAGTTATTATTAAAAGTTAACAGTAGTTAATCCGTCGAAGGTTGTCTATAAAATTTTTCAAAAGTACTTCCACATCCACTCATCTTAAAAAACACATTTAGAATAGACATTTAATAGCTAAAATGTTTTGACAACATGTTTCAATACAGTTGTTTTTTTTTTTAAAAAGGAAATACCCCTCTTAGACTTTGCGATCTATGGATCATCTGTTTCTGTGACCTACCATTAGTAAGTTGGGCAGACTCAATGGCATTCTAAAATATACATCAAAATTTAGTTTAGGCTACTAATGAAACTCTACTAATGAAACAACAACTTTGAGTGATCATAGAACTTAAAATGCGCAATATTACTTCAACAGTTTATCTGGCATTAAAAAGTTGAAGTCTTGACATTTTGAATGAAATTTGTACTTTTTAAATTATTATTTTAAAACATGTGGCAGGCCAGATTAAACCCTTCCATGGGCTGGAGTTGGCCTGCAAGCTGTAGTTTGCCCACATAAATATAAAAGGCAATGTCCAAATATTAAGAATGAATGCAGTATTTCATGTGACTATGCATACCCAGTTACAATCTGCACATTTCCACATCTAAAGAGTAAATTGAAACTCCCTATCATAATAAATATTTTCTGTTTGGGACTATATCACAACTTAACATAAGTCTTCATGAGATTAAAAGTTACAGTTGCTCCTTTGGCAAAGAAGATGATTACATTTTCAGAAAGGGAGATGATGGGTCGCTTGAATGTCAAGTGTCCAGCCAACATTTACAAAGTTGACAGCCAATTAGCTCCACAAACATATGCATGGAAATAAAAAGATTTATCACATGATGTAGGAAGCACTTTGCCCAAACCAAATTCTAAATAACAAAAACTGGTTTGGACTGAAAGCTGTTTCTTAATTTATTATCCTAAATATTTAACATAATAGACATTTTTATAAACAGGTTAAACCTAATCACTTGTATAGATATAGCAATTCTTGGTATACAGCAAGAATTTTTACTATACAAAAGTTCTTAGTATATATTTAGTATATAACAATAGTTCTTAATACATTCAACAAAATTATTTTGGCAATGAGTGAGAGGGCTCAAAATTGTGATCTTAAGTAAGATAATCTTTATTACAGTGATAATATGAACTATTAAATAAAAGAACAATTTTAGCTATAGAATGTGTGTGCCTATGTAGACCACACTAGCTTAATATATATATATATATATATATATATATATATATATATATATATATGTGGCATTTTACGTCTCGAGAGACGATCTTTTCCCTTTGCAACTTCTTGTGTGACTAAAGAGGCCAATCCTTGATACACAGCTGCGATCGCAGGTTGGGCATATATAATCACCAGGCGCCATTGCATTTTCACCCTTCTTTCTGCTTCTGTTGTGTATGACATCTGCAATCTTTGACCCTTCCTTTATGCTCTCTCTCCATGAGGATCTGTCCAGTGTCACCTCTTCCCAGTTGCCAGTGTCGATTTTGAAGAGCTTCATGTCGCGTTTGCATACATCCATATAACGTAAAAGTGGGCGACCAGTGGCTCTCCTGCCTACTATTAGATCGCCATACAGGATGTCCTGTGGAAGTCGACCTACTGGCATTCTACAAACGTGGCCAAGCCAGCCAAGGCGTCTGCTGCTGATAACAGAGCGGATGTCCTGGCACCCTGCTCTTATCTTTCTAATGGCTGTGTGAAGCGTCAAGTGTGGTAGCTTGACTTGTTGCCACCGCTGGCTAGCATATATATATATATGCTACTTGTTCACACAAAAAAAAAATAATTCCCCAGTAAAAAAAAAGAAAAACTATGCATAATGAAATGTACTGAAAAAGAATGATAAGAAGTGGGGGGAAAGAGAAAGATGACTGAGAATTATCTGTAAAGGATCAAATGCAATTAACTAAAACCTTTAATTTTATTCATAGATGAGATACTAATTATGAATTAATCAACTAAACATTCAGAGTCTTATAAATCTCTGCACAGCAGTATGTTTAACATTAGCTAAAAGACTTTCAGCTACTTGCAGAGGAGAACTCAATTGATACTGGATAAATGCTTTAATTTCCGTATTTCAAAACATATCAGACAAGGTGAGCAACAAACAAGTGTAAATACAAGTTCAACAAAGAATGCAACAATAACATTTGGTGTATAGTGATAATGTCAAGGGTAACATAGATAACCAGGCACAGATTCAACAATTGTAGGAACCAAACTTTTGTAAAAGATGAAGATCTCTTACACAGCATAAAAGTCTTCTTATATCTTCAGCTCTGGAAGTCTTTCTCTCAAAATTGCAAGCTGAAACCAAGAGAAAAAATAATTATATATCTATAGATAAATATGAATTTATTAAATTTTCCCAAACATGATAATCCAATGACTAAGTTTTTCTACTAAAACTACCTGTACATTGCATGTAGCTGTATGTCCCTATTTCTAACTTAACATCACTGCTGACTTGGGATTGAGACAAAAGTATATTGTTATGATTCTACATTGCGCATTGTCGTTTGGCGCGATATTGTGCAGCATAGGACACGATGGAGAAACAGAGGAGAAATGGAAAACACGAAGGCCTGAGATGTGATTCTAAGTTTGGCTCTAGATGTAGTTTATAATTGATTATTAAACGTTCTATTTTATATCACTTTCGTTGAGGTTAATTGCTAAGTTATAGCAATATTATTATTAAATCAATGAACTATTTGGATTGAATGGGCAACTTTAAAAACTACTTTTCTATCCTATGAACATAACAATTATACATTTTTCTAGAATCTTATCGTCCTATTTAGGATGGGTTCAAGTTTACATGAGACTCTTAAAATCCTATGCTGTGATTAACAGGGGGTCCATAAATGTATGTCTAAATAAAAATATATCATAACAATAACAAGTCATTTTCTATGAGTCTTATTGTTCATTAAAAATGATTTCAAGTTAAAATGTGGCTATCAAGATCCAATCCTGAGATTGATTTGGGTACATAAATTTTTATCTGTATATAATTATATACAAGCAAGATACATAGCCAAAATAGCTTCATAACTGTTATTTCAAATGTTAGTACCAATCCTACCAAGAAATAAATTTAGAAATTTAAGATTATTCTGAAAAAGAAAAAAACAAACTAAGCTAACCTCTCTTTCTGCTATTTGTTTTTTTTCAGATAGAATTCTCATTTCTGACCATCTGTGGTGTACTCTAAGAGTTTCTATTTGTTTGATGAAAGACGCTAACTCACTCTCTACACAGGACTTGTATTCTGTAAGTAAATATGTTTGACAGCTGCTATACACAGTTGTTGTGCATGTCTTTAGTTTGTCAATACAGCATATACATGTGATAAATACAGTTTGATTGATACAGGACAGATAACAGTAACCACAATAGAATCTAGAAACATAATATTGTCATAATGACACATCTCTATCATAAGTTACACAGCTACAACATTGAAATAAAGCAATACTCATATAAAAAATAAAAACCACATATTATTAAGTTGTAATTTACGAGTAATTAATTAATTAATTTTTTTTAATAGATTCATGTTGTCTTTGCCAATGAATAATTTTGCAGTTTACAAATTCTGATTACCTTCCCAAATTTCAATGCTTCCTGTTAGTAAAATTTTTTTTATTTCCTCAAATCTGTGACGTAGA